CCCCCCCCCTGGGGAACGCCCAAAATCGCCTCATGGCCCCCTCTTAGGGGCGCTCGTGGTGTGCTCGTGCGCTTTCTTTCAGCAATATTGTTGCCCTTTTGGGCCCACATTGGTGCGTCTGCCTTCTTGGGCCATAGCGGGGCCATCTTGAGGCCTCGGATGGCCGTCGGAAACGAACAAGCCAAAACGGCAAACCTCATTAGTAGTCTTTTGGTTGGTGGAGGAGTTGGGCCTCGTTGAGACCTCCTTGGGAAGCCACTTGACCTCTTGGAGCCGTCTTTGGGCGGACTTGGGGCTTCTTGGAACAGATTCGGAGCCACCATGAAGCGTCTTGGTGTATCTCGAGCCATATTGGAAGCCATAGCTGGCTCCCTGAAGCGCTCTTCGAGCCGTCCTGGGCAACCTTGGACGCCCCAAATACCAACGACCCCCCGCCCCCCCCCCCGCCCCCCCCCACCACACACACACACACACACACACCACTTGACACACACACACACACACACAACACACACAAACACACACACACCACACACACACACACATGTACACCACAACACACACCACCAACCACCAACCACCACCACCACCCCCCCCCCCTACCCCCCCCCCCACACACCACACACACACACAAACACACACACACACACCACACACACAACACACACCACACACACCACACACACACACACACCACCCCCCACCACCACCGCCCACCCCCCCCCCCCCCCCCCCCCTCCACACACACACAACACACTACACACACACACACACACACTAACCACACACACACACACAACACACACACACACACACAAACACCCACCACCCCACACACAAGACACACACGACACAACACAACACACACACACACACACCAAACACACACACACCACACACACACAAACACCACACCCACCACACCACCAACCACCACCACCACCCCACCCACCCCAACACCAACCCCCACCCCCACCCCCCCGCCCCGCCCAGGTCCAGGCGACGGGGGCAAGGGGGGGGGGGGGGGAACCCCCCACCCCGAATGGGGAAGGATGCGGGTGGGAAGAGGAAACGATCTAGACCACTTACGCCATAAAGGGGCTGGTTGGATGTTGGCGCGCCGCGGGGGCCCTCTTGGAGCGCTCGCGGGACATCGTGGAACCACGTCGGGCCGTCTTGGGGCCATTT